TTTTTTTATTTTTTTTAAGTTTTAATAAAAGTAGATAAAATTCTTGAGTTCCATAATTACGTAATTAAAATTAATCATTGACTTTAGCTTATATTTTTACTCAATTTTTTAAGCTACACCAATGAGGAGCTACATAATTTTATATAGAGAGTGTGATTTATTATTCTCAAATGGGGGTACAACTATTTATAATATACTTTCAAATTTTCAGCATAAAAGTTACTATTCAATTAAGTGCAGCAGAGGTAAAATGTCAATTTAAAAAAAAAAAGAAAAAAAGAGAGAAGTCATGTATAGATTCCAAAATTTCCAATTGTTTTCCATTACTACATAAGATTCAATATTTTAAATCACTATCAAGTATGAACAACTTGCTACAATACCGCAATAAGTCATGTACCTGCTGAAGTGATTCATCTGCATTTCTTTTAGAATGCGTTCTTAATCGAATTTCCCGAACCAATGAAGCTTTTTTCCAGAACTCATTGCCATGGTCCTTCCACTTGGAAAACTATATTTTAGCCTATAATAAAAAAATACAACGTCATAAAGCATAGCTATTGCAATAATCATTTCGTGCAACTTTACTTGTAACATTACTCATAACTTACTATCTAATAATATCTCTATTTCACTTCTTCATACCATCCATCTTGCTCCAATTGTATGCATAGCATCCTTCTCAAGGTATTCTTCCTTATTGATATCAAACCTAAATACCAAAAACATTCACCATTTGGGATATGATTCTTGATAGTGAATCTACAATAATCTTTCTTCGAATATGACTAAAATCATTCTATCAACAAATACAGACACCACGAATCCTTGTCTTTAATTTGCCTCGCAAGCTCATCTATGACTGAAGCAGGAAAAATATGAATTTAAGGTAGGATAGGTACCTGATGCAAGCTAGGTTATAGCCATATGAAAAATGCCATAAGGCACAGTATCCCACATTATTTCGTTCCCGTATCACTCCCAACGCTTTAGAGAAATTATATAAACAAAGCAAATATAAAAAATGTAAAGAAACACAAATGAAATTCACCAATCGTATCACAAAATTGCTTACCAACATTGTGGGGGTGTTAACATGATGTTTGACGATGAATCCTCCAGCCTGGCCTGCAAATTGACAAGAAAGATCTCAAAATCAAGCGTCGATGAAGATGAAATATAACAAGCAGTTAACATCATAGTCAGAAGGTTATTCAATATTTTTTGCATATATTTTCATGTAAATGGTGGAAGGAGGGAGTAGGGGATGGATGTGGGGGAGGGGATGTCCAGAAGTATACTTAACAATTTCCTTCTTTTCCTAATTTTTTTGTCCTTGTTTATTAGTCAATGCTTTCCTGAGATACTCTTTTTTTGGATAAGGTAAGAATATTATATCCAAAGTGTAAAAATAAAGTACAAATCACAGGGACATACCCCAGGAAACAATGCTAGGAATAAATACCTTCCTAACAACACCAACGGAAACCTAGATTAGTGCTCATATCCTAATCACGACAATAAAAAAATATTCGCAGAAAAACCCCAAGAGCGTTGGCCCACCTATTCTCATTAGATGGAACCAAGCCCCTACATGAATTCACTCGTGCACAAATAGAGAAAATAATATCTTGAATAACAGCAGACTCATGTTTAGGAGCCTCCCCATAGGTCCTAGCATTGAGCTCACGCCAAACAACATAAATCGAAGCTGCAAACATCAACCGAATAATGATGGAAGACAATGACTTCCCACGAAATTGTTCCATCCAAGAAAGAGTATCTGGCCAACACCGTTGAACCCAAGGCAAGTTACATTTCGTATGCAAAGTATTCCAAACACGCTCAGAAAATGGGCAAGCAAAGAAAAGATGATCCAAATCCTCCACTGAACAATCACACAGCACACAACGCATAGACTATACCAAACCAAAGCGAAGAATCTTTGTCAATGTATAGATGCCACCTTGAATAGCTAGCCAAAGGATGAATGCATGACGTGGAATACATTTAGGGAACCAAACAATATGATACCAAGCTACCCTAGGGCAGCTAAGTCGAAGAGACTCCCAAGCACTCCGAACAAAGAACACTCCCTATGCATCAACCTCCCATCGCAATACATCTTCTCTATTACTATCCGGCCGAAAAGTAGCAAGCATATCTCGCATTAAGTCAGATAAAGCTGGGGAACGAACTGATGGCCATCTCCAAGTATCACCCTCAACAATAACAGCCACCTTAGCTAGTCTACTCAATTTGGATTCACGAATTATCCTCTCTTCAAGAATCTTCTCTAAAGGGCCAAGAGAATGCCAATTATCATACCAAAGCGAGGCACGTCTACCATTACCAATTCTGAATTTCATTTTGTCCCTTCCTATATCCCGGAGTCCAAGAATCTTCCTCCAACTCCAAGAGCAATCCCCAGGACACTTCAATTCCCAAATGTTTCGTCCTTTAAGTAAATAACAACGTGCCCATGAAACCCAAAGAGAGGAGGCAGAATCCGGACAAAGGGACCAAAGGTGCTTTAACATGGCAGCCTTATTCCAAATCTCCAAGCTCCGTAGACCCAAACCACCCTCCTCCTAAGGCATACAAATTTTTGCCCAAGCCACTTTAGCCACACTGGTGCCAAGGTCACTACCTTTCCACAAGAAGACCCGTAGTAAATTTTCCAGTTGCTTGATCACAGCCCTAGGTAAAAGAAATACAGAGGACCAATAGACCTGAATAGAAAATAATACTGACTTAATAAGTTGTAACCTGCCTATATGGGAGAGCGCTCGACAAGTCCAACTCTTAGCCCTAGCTATAATACGGTCCACCAGTATCTTACAATTCAAAGCCCTCAATTTGGTAGAGATAAGCGGAACACCAAGATAACGTACCGGTAGCACGCCTTCCTTATACCCCAAGACATCAAGCAACTGATCCTTAAGATATGAAGAAACACCACTGGCAAATAGATTACTCTTATCTGGATTAGGAATAAGTCCAGAAAGAGCTTTGAATCAATTAAGGCATTCTCCAATGAGAGAAACAGAACCAACCTCAGCCCTACAAAAGGCCATAAGATCATCAGCAAAACACAAGTAGGTGATCTTCTCCTTCTCACACCTCCAGTGGTATTTAAAGTCCTGTTCAGAAACCATCAACCCCATTAACCCTGAGAAGACCTCCTTTGCCAAGACGAACAAATAGGGCGACAAGGGATCTCCTTGCCTCAAACCTCGCCCACCAGCAAAGAAACCATGCAGCTCCCCATTAATGGAAATCAAAAAACGAGTGGTAGTGACACACTCAGTAATCCACCTAACAACTCTCTCGGGAAAACCAATCACCCTTAAAATTGCAAAGAGGAAATCTCAACGAACAAAATCATATGCTTTCATGAGATCAATTTTAAGAGCACACCTAGGTAATCCTCCCATGCG